CTTTAGTTTCTTCTGACAATATAGTTTACTACACAGTTTACTATAAACTGTGATGGGGTGGATTTACCTCTGAGGTTCTTTCAAGCGCTCATGTTCTAAGAATGTGCGTATATATGTATACACACACCCTCTTTGAGAGAAGAGTATAAACGTGGACACAGAAAGTTTGTCAGTGCTAGAATACCTGCCTTTCAATATTCTATTTCCAAATCTGAACTTGAGGTGTAGCACAAAACTCTTAAACAGATGAGCTGCGGTGGTGAATCAAAGGCTCTTGGATAGGTCTGTGGACAGATATGAGTCCACGTGGGCACCCTTCTAACTAGACTCATAGCTGCATGACCAGTCAGATCCAAATGGTGTTGATTGGAGGGTCTTCTCCATTGGCGTCTCACAGGCTCTGCTTTTGTTCTTTTCCTGGTCAACAATTTCATAATAGTTATTTTAAATAGATAGGACATACACGTGATTAGCACTTTAAAAGTATAAAAGCTTAAACCATGTAAAGAAAGTCTCCTTCCTATTCCAGCCCTCCAGTTTCCATTTCCTTTTTCCAGAGGCCATCACCGTTGTGTTTCTTAGGATTCTTTCTAAGATATTTTCTGAATATACAAGCATATATATGCATATATGTTCTTTAAACATATACGCCCACAAGTGATAGCGTAATATATATGCTGTTCTGCGCTTTCCAACTTAATTATCTTAGACATTTTTCCATAGAACTTAAAGCCAACTTGAAGAGCTTTGCCCCTTCCCTCTCCTGCTCACTGCAGCCAAAAGATGGGGACAATTTTAGTATCAATAAGAACAATAGTCACAACGGATTGAAATATTTTAAATATGTTCAAATCCAAGAGCTCATAAGGATTTTAAAAATTTTATTTTTCAGTTACAGTTGACATACAGTATTATACAATATTGTTTCATGTGTACAACATAGTGATTAGACATTTATATACCTTACGAAGTGATCACCCCGGTAAGACTAGCACCTACCCGAGACCATATATAGTTACTACAGTATGATTGACTATATTTCCTATCGTAAAGATTTTTAAACAAAACAAAATTCTATTGTTCATGTTTGGAGAATGTGAGGAAATCAACTCATTATTCCGAAAACTGGTAAATGAAAGACTCAAGCACTTTTCCTGCCTTTTCTTTACAAAATGAACCTCAGCCAAAGGTAGCCCAATAGTTGATAAGGCAAAGTTTCTTTTTATAGGCATAACAGAATTAGAATATTACTCTTTTGCAGTCCCTAACCAATGAATGGATTTAGGCAACAATCGTCAGTGGCTGCTAACATTGCAAAAAAAAGACAAGCAGACATTAGTTGCCTCTTGATGGAAGTACACAACTCCATCGGTGCCACAAACATTGAATATATACCAAAAAAAAAAGAGTATTATAATGAACTCATCACCCAGCTTCAGTGATTGTTGACTCATGGCAATTTTAATTTCATCTACCTGCCCTACCTCTCTTCATTGCACTTACCCCCTGACCTTTCAATTATTGCATTTGAAGTATTGATATTGCCCAACTGTGCTCCATGGAGCTTCTAGCAATTTCTACTCCTACAGCAGTATGTGAAAATGTGTTTTTCTTATGGTCTTATCAGTGTGTGATTAAATATTTTTACTCTTGCCAATCTGAGGTTAAAAATGGCATTTTGTTATAGTCTTAGACTGCATTTCTTGTTTCATTATTGAGATTCAGCATCTTTTCATATGTTTAAGGGTAATTTGTATTTTCTTAACTGTGAAGTGTCCCTGCATATTTTTGGTCTTTTACTTTTTGATATGTAGAGGTTCTTTTCATATCAAAGAAATTAGTCATTGGTCTGTGATACGAGTTGATAATTTTTCCCAGTTTGTTGTTGTTCTTCTGATTTTGCTTTTGCTTATGGTGTTTTTTGCCATTTGGATTTTAAAAAAATTTAATGTAGTTGAATCTTTTACGACTCCTGGTTTTCATGTAATCCTTCAAAAAGTTCCTTCCACTTAAAAATATTCTCCTCTGTTTTCTTTTGTTCCTCTGTAGTTTCATTTTTTGTTGTTGTTTTTTTTAGTCAAATTCTCTGATCCATCTGCAATTTATTTTTCTGTAAGGAATCAGATAAAGATATAACTCAGTTTTTGTCCAGTACTTTACCCAGTTTTCACAGCACTGTTTATTAAATAACCTGTCTTTTCTGCAGTAATTTAAAATGGCACCTTTGTCTAAATTCCAGTGTGTATTTAGTTCTGTTTCTGAACTGCCTTGTTTATTTAATCGACGTCTGCCTATTCATATATCAGTGCCAGATTGTTTTAAGTGTTGTAGCTTTATAATGTGTGTTAATACTTCAGAGAACTAACCGCCCCCTTACACATACACATGACACTTCATCTCTAGAATTTTCATGGCTATTCTTTTGTATTTAGTTTTCCTTATAAATTTTAGAATTGAATTTATGTAGTGCTTAACAAAGGCATGACGGTGTTTTGATTGGAATTGAGTAAAATGCATAGATTTGCATAAACAGAATTGCCATCTGTTGTGTTTTTCTAAGTTGACTGAGATAGAATAGAAATAGAAATAGAAAGCCCCACATTTATGGTGGGGAAACATCAATTGCACAAGATGTATTCATTTATTAAACAACTAATCCAGCCTGTGTGCCAGACAGTATATCATATAGTGGGGAGAATGCAAATAAATTAATTGTAGGTAGTCCCTAGGCTCTTATCCATTTGTTAAGGTCAAGCTTGGCATCACATCATGTGAAGACATTTTCATTTCGCTGATCCCCAGTCTCATGTTAACCAGCAGGATCGTATGGTTGCTTCAGAGTTGTTACAATGTTGAGTTGCACTAAAGGATGTGCAGAGAGGGAGTATAGAGTGTAGTGAGTGAGTGGTGTAGGGTCTGGAGGCAGACAGCAGGGGTGTGAATTAGGTGTCCCGTGACCTTGGCAGTTTATCCAATCTATTCTGGCCTCAATTTCCTCAGCTGTAAAATGGGGAGATGTTGATTGTGCTTAACTCATGGAGTTGCGTGTGAGGCTTAAATGAGAGAATCCAAAATGCCTTTGCACTTTGCCTGGCACATACTGGTGTCCCGTAAATGTTATCTAATATCATTTATATTGGAAAAATGGCTCCACTGGTCTGATGGTATCTGATCTATTAAGTTCATTTCCTGATATCATTATTTAGGAAAGGCAGTAGAAAAAGATCTCCATAAGACGGCAGCCAGGTGGTATGAAAAAGGTGGCCTAGAAACATTAAAGAAATAGTAGGCCTTTCTGCTGGAAAAGAGAAGGTGAATGAGAAACAGGGTGGCCAGATAATTATTATTATTATTATTATTATT